CAGCATCACGTTTAAAGTACTGGAACCTACGTGAATCTTCCAGTTTCTCGCGCTTAGCGCGAGCTTCTTGTTTGAAGTCTTCATAGCGGTTCAAAACCTGAAAGAAGAGGCAAGGTTAACATTGATCAAGTAACGGTACAAATTAAATTACAGATTCGTAGTAAATCGATAACGAGATCCTCGGTAGATACATTACGACTACTAGACTAATATAGCCTTTAATATCTTGAAGAAGGGAACGAAACGATAAACTTGAAAGAAATGCTATTACTTATAAAGAAGAAACATCAATTTATCGAAATAATACAGAATCAGATCAGCAGTAATTTATCAGGTCAAGGGTGCGAAGAGTCGGAGAGCTCCGCCTATAAATAGTCAATCAATACAGTTCTTCTTGGAGAGTTTGTCTACTGTCTAGGGTAGATTTTATCGGTTATGACGTCCTACTTTCGTCACCACTATCTTATCTTAATATTTATGTTAAAAATAATTTAGATACTGGATCGATCAACAAGAAAACGAAGCAAATAAGTATTTAATTTTAGTTTCCGATAATCGCTAAGCAATGGATATGAAAAAACCCCTAAAGGAAATTCAGTTTTTTTTTGGACACACTGCCTGTGTACTAAGGGGAAACGCTTTTAAAAGGGGAATATGTGGCCTAAAGTATCATTAACGCACATTTTAAGTCAATTTAGAGTCAGTCTAAACTAAGTTACATGGACAAAATGTTCATCTATTTCTGTTCATTCTTTTTGAAAATGTTATTCACAAGAGACGCCGAGTACGTGATATTTACTAGTCGCTACCTATCTGTAATGTTATACTTTGGTATCGTCATTATATTAATTAATTGAAGCGACGCGACGTGACCAAACTGTGGGGCGTTGACTGATTCACGCAATGTACCTACAAATTATATTTTATCAGGTTATCGAAACCAGAGACTATGCGTAGATCGTATAGACATGAGAATAAAAAACTAAGAGCATAAAGAACAGTCTACAGGCTGTTATCATTATTAAATCTGGAAATCAAGTAGATCGGGAAAATCATACTTTTCAGACTTAGGTACGTTCTAGAAATAAAGTGGCGACTGAAGTGATATTTGCAATAAACTATAATCTATAATTCTTATGTTAATGTCTATAGTACAGTTGCGTATTACAATCACGGTTCTATCCGCCGAGCACAACGAAGCGAGTGATTGCTTTCCGCACTTGAATAGATGCTGCATTACAATAGTGTCTGTATTTAGTAGATATATCTGTGTATGCAAATACTAGAGGAAACGGTGCCTTCATCTCATTAGCAACATCCTTTGAGCGTAGTGGGAACATCCGAGAGTTCATAATGCCTCACTATGTTAGGTGTACATTTGTTACTCTCTTCAAATGAATTTGATGATATTCAAATAAATTATGTACCGTAATATTTGATTTATAAGAACATTTTAGTCATAAAGTGTTGTCATTGATAACTGAATAGTGGAACTGTGACATCATTATATTTTTTCATAAACTCTAAAGGTGACTTTAGACATTCACATTTAGCATGTTACAAGTACTTTGATGCAAGTATAGAAATATCTGTAGTAAATTCGTAGAAAATGGACTTCCATCATTTAAAAGTTTCGTCGTATGCAGAGGTCTACGTCGCACTAAATAAATTGAAGATGATTACCTGTTCACGTCGTTCTTGAATATCCTCGGCGGTCTCGAGGATCTTCACCTCCTTGGGTGGTGGTATCTGTTCCATGATGGAAGCGTCAAATTAACTGAAACAATACAAATAGGAATTTTTACCTATACACGCTAAGACATAACTTACACATACACTAAGTTTCTTAGGTACCTACATAGAGTTTTACAAACATCACCAGTGGGCTTACTCTTGAATCCAATTCCGATCGGTCGACATTGGTATTGTGAAATTTCGTACTCTTGAGTTGTAGCACTAGCGCCCATTGCATCCGTATTGCGTGGATATTGAATGAACTAAATGGTATTGAGTTTGGCCTTATACTCCGTACTCTGTATGCTATTTTAACAGCTACGGTTGGGGTTGTATAATTTTGACATTGGATAATTATTGAGATTTTATTGGATTGAAATTGCATTGACATTGAGATTGGTTTCAAGAGTAAGCACCCTGATCGTAGTAACCGACATAACATTTAAAATTCAAACTTGAATCTTTATCAGTGCCGCGTCAGCCATATTTTTTATCCCCTGATCTCATCAAACAGCATTTATTAACTCAGATGAAGGTCAAACTACACTTGACTTTGTCATTACAAAGAAACATAACAGAAGTGCCACAATCAGTAAGGCCAAGCTGTCGAACGTGGAAACTTGTATGTGACGAAAAAATAGTGGAACCTACTGAAACAACTAGGTATATCGCCCCTCGTAAATCAATATCAATATGAACGACGACTGATATAAAAGTAGGAAAGCTAAAGCAATCAGACAGTCTGTCTGATTGTTACTTATTAGAATTGTATTCAAAGTATATTCATTTCAATAGCTTACTAGGACGGTTATTTTTGACGACAGCCATCGTAACGAGCGTTTTACGATCGATCATTGTTTGTTTATTGGAATCTCTTTTCGCGAAACGTAATAAACAATTTAAAGAAGCTATTTCTTCACGTTACCTTTTATGACGGTATTTTCTCTTAGCACTAAGGTAATCTTATTGTAATATTAACTTTTTTTAATCATATGGTACTGTACCTACTAGCAAACTTGTGGACATGCCATGATTTTTAATTGACATGTAATAGTTTTGATGAAGGATATGGCACCCAATTTTTTATTTGTGGACAGGAAAAGATTGCACATTAAAATAATATAGGCAGACCTCTTTATATTACAAAATGTCCTCATAATAATAAATTAATGTGGAATGATACTTCTGTGACTTATCTATATCATGGCACCTGCCAGACGAGGCTTACATCACACGGCCTTGTGACTCACCCTACAGTAATGTATTGTGAACCTGATGATAACATAGTTACTCCTTAAAGTATTGCACTTAGCAACCTATTTTTAAGCAAGTACTTTTTACAATACACTTTTCAGCCTTTGTACTAGTTTATCAGTATCAGAATGTTGCTGCTTATCAGTTCATGAGCTCAGGTAGTGTCATTGTTAAAACTTAAAAGATAAGAAATTATAAATGTGACCATTTTTATTTATTATAATTGTGTCCCAAATTAGCCACAGTAACTTATTTACCAACTTATTCATATTATAAGCACTAATGACAATTATAATCAAAATCCTCTAAAGTTGGACTGTAGATAAGCGAGGCAGCAGACATTAATGAAATCATCAATAAATAATAGCTAAGGCAATTACAAAACATGTCTATATCAATTTATTTTAAGCACAAAAATAATATTTCATTTAAATGCTTGAATGATGATGCACCTAGTTTGGGAAACCTCATATTTTCCAAACTAGTGTAAAATGGTCATGTACAATTGATAAATCAATAACATAATATAAATATCATTAAAATTACACCTGTTCCATATGTATGTGACACTTGGATGCACACATCACCCAGGTAATCAATACCAGTGCAACTTGATCTAGAGCACTGCAATCACACACACATACACAGTCAAATGTGTGTCATGCTATGGGTGGGGCTCAATTGGCATTGGAAGTACTGAATTACAATTAATTCTTGATTTATACTGGCTTTTTGATGACTACTTTGTAATGGTACTGGCTATGGATGCCAGGATTATATTTATTGAAGTTTTAGTCTATTTATTTCTATCATGATTAGGTCCTATAGCTATAGTCCAGGAATATCCTGATTGAAAGTTTTAGAACAATATGAAACAGCATTTCAGATGTATTAAGAGAAATAAAAAAAATGTTAACCTATTTATCTCAAAGACAAAATATGATATGAAAAATTTTTTAAGTAAGTTTTATTTTAGTGTATCACAGATTTTTATAAAAAGTATGTCTTTTAAAAAAGTAATTACAGTAACACACTACATATGATAATAAAAAATAAAAACAGAGACACAAAAATTAAATAGATAATCAGCTGATCTAGAAAAAATGTAAATAAATAATAACAACCCACTCAAATACCTCAAATAAACATAGAAGTGGTGAAAAAATCAATACACAGCACTGCAGAGGTAAGTACACTCTAGGTATTCTAGTCACAAAGTCTAGATTATGTACAGACGTAGAAAGTACTGGCGGACACGGCGACGGCCTGTTCCAGATTTTATCGCCCTGCCCGACACGCACTGCCGACACTGTGCCGCAGTAAAACTGCTGCCGCCGGCGTATCCACCGCTACCTATCGACCCCACATACTTCCCTCTTATGTACAATGACGTAATGCTCCAAAATAAACCTAATAAGGATTATGGCCGGAGCCAATTTTAGACTTCCGTAGGAATTAATGGAATGAGAAATGGTACTAGGTGGCATCAACATGATTTTCCATTTAGAATCTCCTTATTCACGATTCTGATTTCTTTCGGAAAGTTGGACATTCGTAAAGAATTCGCCGATACATGGGTGTGTCATAGATAAGTTTTAAAACACTTGAAACGTTTTTAATACAGATTTTATACCACAAATAAAAGCACTTGATGTAAAACTTACCTTTGACTTAATAAATATACTGATTTCACACGTTAAATGCACTTTATCTTGGAATTTTCATGAAAAATCGTTCGTTCGACGTGCAGTCGCGTCACTCCACTTACAATCAATGTTGCTAGAAAATATATTTAGTTGTCACTACAGCTGTTGATTGTTGACCTAGATTTTCAAGATCAATATTTGAATATTTTATTTTATATTTATCAGCATTATGAAAATTTCGTTTTTCTTTTAAAAAAGAAATGAAAAATGTCCAATAATTAATAATATTCAAATATTAAAAAATATAGATAAATAAAATCATTATTATTAATTTTGTGTCTGTAGCAACCATGTAATAGGCAACACTGTACTTTAGTTGTCAAAAAATCTTGTTCTCGCTCGCTTGGCTCGTTCTGTGTTTGTTGTATCAATTTGTATGTCAATTATCAATTAACCCTCGTTTAATAATGGCCTGTTGATTATTAAAAAGCAGTGCTCGGTGCTGATACTATCGATGTGCACTTCGAAGTTTGTGTAAATCATGGCTGCTGGCGGCGAGGATCTGTGGCGCGAGTGCGCGTCCTGGCTGACGAGATGTGGCTTGCTACGTCCCGACCATAAGGCGAACTGGGAAACGAGTTCAATCCATGACCTGGCGTACACCCTGCGAGATGGCGTACTGCTGTGTAACCTGCTCAATGTGCTGCATCCAGGCTGCATTGACATGAAGGATGTGAACCAGCGGCCTCAGATGGCACAGGTAATTGCGCCCCTGCCGCCGCGACCTTCACTCTAATTACTATAAAACCATTAAATTTAGCACATAATAGCTGCACGCATGTTATGTGGAACTAATTCCTAGGTCGGAGATTTGTGCTTTTGAAATTTGACACAAGGTTTATAAATTTACATTAATGTATTCGTGTTTTTTTGGTGTACGAAATATATTTTGAATATTATAAATTAAAATTTCGTGGTTGGGATACAAGAGGAGTTCCTAGTACTGAAATATGTGTTGAGCATTACATTAACAGTTATAATGTGTTGGTGTAGTTAATTATGCATGCAATCATGAATGGACCTTAGCTATTGATATGTGTGTATTCAACAGTCACTGAATATATGTTCCGGTGTTATCTGCATCGTAAACTGACTGTGAATGAACAGACAGAGCTTACTACTCACTGTCAATTCATAATGCAAGTACATACTTCTATGTTATGTGTACCTTTATGAAGAGGACTAATTGATGTAAGATTTATTTAACTATCAATGACCTCAATATGGATTTTATCTGTTATAGAATTAGTACTGAAATTTTTAAAACACATCTAATAAGATTGGATTAAGTAAAAGAAGAAATTCCAACATTATATTTTCAATAACTTATAGGTATATTAACTTGTCGAGTACCGGTTTTATAGACACAATTATAGAACAATAGGTTGCGGTCACCGGTGACCGCTTGGTGTTTGACAGTTTAAATCAAACAGGAAATAAATTATTTGCTGTAAAGCAGAGTATTACATAAATTTTTCATTGAAAATAATAATACAAGTATTTACCTGTTTCCTGTTACAAATAACAATGGGTCATGGTCAATTTGTTAATTTAGCAAATTGCAAATTGAAATACAAATTCTGAAATTCCTAATAAATTGTACATTCTAACAGAAACCTTGTTTGTGTGTCCTCTATTTTAACATTGTTCCATCATGCAAAAGGTACCTTTGTTAAAAAACTTTCATAGTTAGTGAAATTGTACTGCATAGTTAAAAGGAAATAGCAGATTAGTTTTTTTTGTGAAACATTCCTTTACTTTGTAGCTGTCAAACATCAAGCGGTCACCGGTGACCGCAACCTATTGTTCTATAATTGTGTCTATAATGACGGTACTTGACGAGTTAAGTAAGTACTTTAAAGAAAACTTTGTTTTGATGAACACACTAATCTTATTAGAATTAGTTAAAAAATGTTGCATTTGGTGTTGATTTTAGATATTCTAAGACATTCTCCATTAATTATAATTTCAAACAGGAAAACATTAAAATATAATCACTGTAGTTAAATTGTCAATTTTCTTTAATAACTTCTTGAACCTTCCTGATAATCTTGTGTCAAGTAGTAGCTACCTACATAGTTTTACTTTGCATTGATACTAATACCTGCCTTAGGTGGCTTAGATCAGCAGTCATATTTAACTATTCCACTCCCTATTGTCACTAAGGATATCTGTTTTATTACACTACAGACCATATTGTGACAACTGGCAGCCATTAAAAGTAGTTGCCCCATGTTTTATGGCCACCGTCGTAAAAATAGCTATGCTTTGTTTATATTTGTCAACTAGCCATGCCTTGCTTAATGGCCTAGTAAATTAGGAATGTAAATAACCTATAGACTATGGATTTCTTGAAAAAATAAGTATATAATTTCACTTGGTTAACCCGCAAACTCTGCTTATCTACTTTTTCATAGAATAAAAGTATGTTTGGATGACTAATAGAGTGTAATTGTACTAAGTTATCTTTTTGCACTTTTATTATACCTTTTGATATTATTGATATTGATGTTATTTCAAAGTAACTACATATCTATCATATCTTGATGCTTGCACCAAATAATAAACTTACATTATCTATTGATGTCAAAATCTATATCTGTTATACCTATATACCATGTAACATTAGTAAACAGCTTGTACTTACATGTGACTACCATAAAAATGTGGAGGAATGTGCCTCAATGTCACATTGATTACATGTCATGGGGGCTAATGGGGGACCCATCATCATAACAGTTAACAGAAATGCTTGTAATTGTAGTCGAGCATGCCTAACATTATTCCATAGACTGTGTAATACACACTTAATAACTTACTACAGTAAATAATGTTCTTAAAATTGGCACATAGTGTAACTTCAGGTCATTACTCTTGTGTGTGTGCTACTCATGTGTAGTGATAATTAGGTAGTAAAGGAATTGCTGTATGAACTTTATGATGTGGCGCTTACAGTCTATTTTGCAAGGAAAGTGATAATTACCTATCCACATCTTGGTTAAAGTTGTAGTATAATAAATAAACACTAATTAGAAAATAGTAAACTGATGATGTACTGCTAATATAATCTGCACTTTTTTACGCTTGCATTGCATATAGTGCTCGTCTAGGACCACTAACAAACATAGAGCTGTTGACAGATACTACACACGTATCTCTTGTATCCCTAAACGCGGATATCAAATTACCCGTCCTCAGCTCGTAGAAAAACGTCATGGTTCAAGCCCTACACCAAATACCTATCAATTGCTACTCAAGACTCTTTGAAAACTCTCAAAATGGCGAATTTTATTACCAAAAATTCAGATCCATTAAAACAATAAATTATTCTCTTAAACTGTTTATATTAGGTCATCATAAGGCTACTAAGCCCGTAGCTATCTCTCGTAAAAGTGCTTCAATAACGACGCACGTAATTGTACCAGATAATGTTATCGTTTTAAGAATAAGAGAGGAACCCACTACAAATGATCTCGCCGCTCTTTAATATACGCCGAAATAACTGGGTACTATCGCCAACATAAGTAGCTTATGAATACAAAATGATTTATTTAATGTATAATACTTTATGTAATGTGTTGTTGTAGACAAATTGTGATGGCGCATGGCGTCAGGTTTATTTATGAATCTGTTTTGTAACTGTATAATAACTACTTTTGTTGGTCACTGTACCTGCGAAGTTTTTTGTTGAGTTTCCGTTTGGATTTATGGCATTTGATTTGTACCTAATTAACATTTTAAAGTATAGGGGTATTAGTATATCAATAACTAATCAAATCAGTGCCTCTAGCCAAGCGCCACTTTAGCGCTTGTCTACAGAGAGAGTAGAAAACGAAATGTATGGGGATGTATGGGGACACTGACAAATGTCAAAATTTACGTCAATTCCATACTTTTCCGTTTCCTACTCTACAAGTAGACAAGCGCTAAATGGCATTTGGCTACGGCTGCAGAATTCATAAAAAGTGGTTCTTATATATATTTCACAAAAAATCAACTAGACAATGCGAAAGAATAAGAAAATCTACTCGATATGCAGTTGTTTCGCGCCCAAATAAGTGAAATAAGACAAACTTCTACTTTGATAAAATGAAAGCACATTTCTTTCATCTAACTTTAAATGCTTGAGCACTTGTTTTAGGAAATTCCTCGGACATAGGTAGTAATCAACTATAATCTTTACCTCCTTAGTTCCTGTGCATGAGGAACATCAAGGTGTTCCTCCGAACATGTCACGAGGTGTTTGAGCTGCGGGAGACGGACCTGTTCGACCCGTCCATGTTGTTCGACCTGTCCAACTTCCATCGTGTGCTGTGTACACTGGCCAAACTCAGCCAGTGCCCTAAGGCTCTGGCTAAGAATATCAAGTAAGTAACTCTTTGTGACGAAGGCTTTTATATATAGGTACAGTTACTCCTCTCTCTAAACTTCATAGATCACTCCTAAATGATATTAAAGTATAGCTTTTGGTTTATATAGGACTAAAAGTAGTAAAACTGCTTTAGTTATAATGACTAAGTTCAAAATTTTGTTATAGACCATTCTCGGCGTTACGAACACAGTCGGAAGAGGACATCTACAAAGATCTGCAATCTGTGTAAGTACCAAACTAGTTTTGAACTCACCTCGTTACAACTTTGAAAGTGCTAAGTAATTTACCGGCCCTTGTAGTAGCGCCAGTGCGACCATGGCGCCTCCCCCCTACTCGAGCGTGATAGAGGAGTGCCCCGGGCACCCGGCGGCGGCCGAGGTCCCCTGGGTGCAGTTCACGATACCCTCCGCCACCTGCGAGGACCGCGTGGAGGAGATTTACGAGGATCTCTGTTACGTCAAGTTTACATCAGCGACGCCAGAGGTGGCTGTTTTCGATAGTTCTTTTTTTTCGTGTTTTTTACGGCCAGATATTCGTTGTTGTAAACTACAGCAAGGACCAGCTTGCGTAGCAAAAGTCAGCTATGCATGCTGATCAAAGCTATTCTGGCTATTCAGTTCAAAATTGACCGTTAACTTGAATCAATATCTGACCGTAAAATGTATATTCTTTCGGTTAGTCTGGCAACATCACGCTTGGTACATTATAATCCCAGGATTTACTTTCACCTAACTTGTTAATATTCAAATCATGTTCCCCGGTCGCCACGTTATCACAAACAACAATAGTTAATCCCTTTGTTATTTATAACTAAAAGTTTGAGACCAGCCGCTACGGGCTTACTGTCACAGTGAGGGACCGTTGAATGTAGTCCACTGTTGAGTGTAACATAGTTGTGAATACAAAACTAGTACGGAGCAATGTTTGAAATAACTTTTTATTATTTCGTTGTAGGACAGTTCTTATATAAGTAATATCTTACCAAATTAACGCAAAATATTTAAGAATAAAAACCGAATTACCTACAAATCATTAGGGCATTTGTTATATGACATAAAAACTACTACTAAACAGTTTGAAATAAATGTTATACAAATAGAGCATAAACAAATATAATAAGTACTAGAATTATTAGTGCAATAACCTGATCGGTATCTAAATTATAGCAATATGGAGTTACGTAACTGTCGCCATCGCCAGCATCAACTGTTACTTATCTATTTTGAATGCTCATCAATGAATACGGTTTGCTGATCATTGTGCAACTCACAATTGCCTGCATAATTGACCAGCCATCTGCTGTATTTAAACTTTTACACTATTCACAACTTTGTGTCCTCGGTGATAAAGTTTATATTCAGTTTTTAATAAGGATGTCTTTGTGAAGGAATTTGTCTAGGCCAGTACTTTGTTTCTGGCGCCGAGTTCTGTTGTTTTGTTCACGTTTGATAGGTAGCAAGCGCATTCATCCTTATTAATCAGCGAAACTTTATTTGGGGGGGGAGATATTGGCTGAGAATGCAAGTCAGCCTAATAGAAGATACATTCTTAGATAATTATACTTTTATGTCCTTTGCTATATATCAGGCGCTCGTGGTCAATCAAGTAGTTAGTAAAGTAATAAAAAAGTGAAAATCCGACTCATTCCGCGGCACTGCGCGCGTGTTGAGTGCTCACATTATTTGCTTTATTTCTTGTTATCTAAATATATCATCGCGCCGCGTTTCCCATGCATTACCAACAGACAATGTAGGTACTACCTACCAGACTACCAGCATTACATCTCTTAGAACCAACACAACTACTTACTTCTAAATGACAAGATAAAAATAGCGTGAATTTGACGTCCTTTACGAATTAGCGAGAAGTTGCGTAGGAAACTTTTTGTCGTTGTTAAAAGTAAAGGAGACCATTGTCTATTAAAGCAAGCGTGTAATAATTATGCGAGATGCTCTTGTTTGTAAAAACATGGTTTTCAGAAAATATATCCAATTAGTCCAAATTCTCGTTACTTCGCGCGGAATGCTTTAAATCAGTCTTATGTTTAACGTCCCCGAAGATTGTCGCAATCATTCTCTTGTGCTCTCCACCGCAAACCTTTTAATAAGAAAGTATGTAATAAATTATGACTTTTCTCACAGTCTGTTACCACTACGAATGACTTCTGTTCGCGTAGACAAAAGGAGTGGAGTACCAAATGATAATAGCATACCCCGCCGCATGTTCCACATTCGTCATTCATGCAAGCTCGTACGAATACAAACATTCATTTATTCACGAATAAGATAATGCGACATAAATCAAACGACACCTAATTTGAGCGTCACGTTATTTGCTTGCCCTAATTCACGTAGCAACGCTCCTTTGAAACAAAGAGGGATCCCAACGTTGCCGCAAGCGAGCTCAGCTATGCATCCTCATAATATGGTCCAAGTTTCATTTAATTAATCGCTTTAAACGTGGGAGTTGCGAACTACGAACTTTCTACTTTATTGTGTTATTACGTGGAATATACGCGAGTCCTTTGCGGATTACGTAGTTCAACGCCTACACGTGACGTGCACGTCTTAATATGTAGTCCCGCTGTGCCACGCGGCCATGCGTCTGCTGCTAAGTGTACGACGGACTTTTACTAAATATGTATAATGAATGTTTCTCTTTCCTCCTCGCAACTATGTATAATTATGTACGTGAAACATTTCTCCTGTCGCATTTAGTCTAATGGCCGTAAGATTGTCTGGAGAAAAAGCTGCAATATCCTCGAATACGTCATCAGTTTGGGTTTTTCAGTAGTGTGAATATCGTCGTGTTCCTTACCTTCTGTTATAATATAAATTACCATAAGATGTCCGTCAGTTGTAAGTACAGTACAGTACTTACTTAGTATTAGTTAATTTAGCAAAAAAATTAAATCCTTACCGTTGTACCAAACAGACGGAATCTTGTTATCTTGTGAAGGCCTTCCAGGATTTCGGAAAGCAGAAATATGATATACATATTTTGTGGTATATTTTTGTTAGTACTTAATGTATATCTCTGTACGCTCCAACGCCCCTGGGCTAAAATATCATTTTCATACTTCCCACACGAAAGGCCATAAATCCTATTTACTGGGATGTGAACGTGATGTAGTTATATATTTTCAATAACGATACAAATTGCTATATTATGTGATTAGATCTTTCTCGGAAATCTGCGTACCGTAGCTATATTCATTATTTATTCTTATTTATATAAAAAGAATAGTATTTATTTTTAATATGTCATCCCATTATGCTTGGTCTCGCTCTTTGCTAAAGTCGGCTGTTCATGACAGTTACACAATAGAGTTATTTGTGGACGTTCTATGAAAACTGAGATGCCTAGATGGAAAATACAGGAGTCAATAGATGGTTATAGAATATTAGAGGAAACACGATGGAATAAATTATCCAGATATGGATCCTTATGAATACTAATGAAATTCTTAATGATGATCATCATTCATTGATGGAATATACTCCATCGTAAGAAGAGTTGGGTGTATCTCGAATTCAGAATAAAGATCTTCTCGATTTAGGGGAAAGAGAAATTTATTACCCATGAAATTATAAAAATACCTACCTATCTAGGCAAATAGGTCCGAAATCAAATTGATCCTTGTACAACTCTAACAATCTCTGTAATAGGGTAGACGACTAATTTTTATTTTAATGTCCGTCTGGTAGATTATTTAAAAACATTAGACACGTATTTTTTATTTTCTTACGGAAACGAATAGTTTCGAAGATATATTGATTTGAAATGTCGCGTGACGTCACTTCTCAGTACATTTTATACTAAGAAATGACGTTTTAGCCCCCACTCCTAAACTTTGATTCGTTTTATCTAAGTATTGTTTTATTATACAACAAAATAAAAAAATACGTGTCTAATATTTTTTTATTACCTAAGTTACGGACTAATTATATTTTTAATTTTCATACCCTGTCATCATCCCCATTATCTTTACATATGTTTTCGGTATACATTATAATATAATAAATAGATACATAATATGCACGCCTACACAGTCCGTCTGGTAAACTAGGCCCAACAATGGCGAACTGGCGAGCCAAAGTTGTATCTGTCTGTTGAAACTTCAGCCCACATTCAATCTCCGTTCAAATAGGCCTCCATGCTGGAACTGAAAAAGCGGAATAATAGTTCTATTAGTTTTATTTATACTACCGAGTTAGCGTAGGTCTTCTTGTTTACAAGATTTATCATTGTAAGCAACCGCGAATACTCATAATTATTTATGTATTCACTTGCTTTTTCTGGTGCTCTCCTTCCAACCGTTATGCACGTTCAATTGCTTGAAAATTCGATTATTACCTTCAACATAATTATGTAAACTCATTCCTTTTGTACTAATTTGGTCCTTACTTCCTTAAACAAACATTTTTTGGCTTCCGCCCTGCGCATGTTCATACACGCGCCGGTTACGAGTACCCCACGGTTTTCCTTTACAAATTGAATCAACAAACAAGCAATTAATATAATTCATAATTACACTTTCGAATCTCTGAAATCATTGTTGTCAGGTAAAACGCATCACTAGAAAGTTATGACGCATAATAATTGAATAATTATTATAATTGGTAGCGAATTTATTTGAAACGGAAATAATATTTAATGCGATGACGTAACGCGAGTTCTTGTGACTGTTAGTGATAGTTTGAATGGGTCGCCCGCGCCGCGGTGCAGTTTTCGCGAACTCGATAATACCAGATAAGCCTACTTGGTACTTCTAAGAATGGTTTAGTCATACTCGTATCTTTCGTATAAGTCCTTTTATCTATAACCCGTCAAAATTATCTAGATACTTTAGGAGAATGTAGTTTCACCGCTTTGCCCCGTACTCTATTTAAAACGGGTTATAAATGTTATCTTTTTAAGTACAATTTAATAAATAAGTATTATAAATGTCGCTAGTTATTATTGTTACTTGGGTGTCTAATTGTTGTTAGTGCGAATGAGTAATAGATATGTCAATAAATAAGGCTCTTGATTAGATTTCCGAAAATAAACTAAGCTTATTATTATAATTGCTATTACTGCTGGATTTTTCCAGTTCGAACTTCTATTCTAAGTACATACCTAAATTAAGTCTTTCCAGCAAAAACAAACAAATATGTTTGCTGAATTAATCTCTAATTCTCCATATAACATAATTATTTGAACATGTCTCGTATATCTGCCTCCGGGGCACACCGCGTTACGTATGTCTTGTCATGTCGTCATACACTCGGATATGTTCCCCTAACACAATAACTTTGTTCTACAGATGAGAGCCGGGGAGACGTCCCTTTGATCTCTAACATTTGCTTGTCTATTTATAGCTCCCAATTCCTAATACTTCCTCCCACATCTTTTTACGCTCGATTTGTTTCTTTATCCCAATTTCCCGATGGTTGGTTAATAAATAGACATATTTACGGGATTTATCTTACTAAGATAGC